GGAGTGTCGAATAAAAATGCTTAACTTGATTTCTGCTCTTAGTGTTTGTATGTGGGTGTTTTAATGGGATTGTGGATCTGTCAAATAAATTTGAGAAGTCTGCTACCTATGATCTCGATCCAACTGGGCTTTGGTCTTGAATCGGTCTTTCCCTCCCACCCTGCCTGTTGCTTGTTTTTGTTTGTTTGCCTGGATTTGTTTAGTGAATCGCCACAAAACGTGGGACGCCCATATTTAGGTTTAACGGTAGAGTTGTGATAAATGTGAAAGGCATTTTAAAATCAAGTTTCCTTCTGAAACCTGGAGGTTCAGGCTTCACACCGGCTCTCCTTTTCTTTGTGTCTTGAAGTTGCCTTAAAGTTTTGGCCGGACAAAACGTCCTCACTTAGAGGGTGTAAAATTTAATTAGTGCTCACAAGGATACAAGTGCAACACACACACAGAGGCACGCGGTGTAGCTACAGTTGTGTGAGTGTGTAGCTACCAAGAGTGTTTTGGGGTTTAAGACACACACAGAGGCACGAGGCTCATGTCGCAGCATGCACTTGACTGTAAAGTGTGTTTAATCCCATGTTAAGGCTTCCTCACGTGCGTTAGAGAGAGAGAGAGAGAGGGGGGCAGAGCGACACTGACATTCACCGTGGAGAGAGAGGGAGGGAGAGTCTGAGGGGGCGGAGCCAGCGCGTCTCGTGCTCTGTTAGTTAGCGGAGCTGCTCCTGCAGGCAGAGGGATGGTCTCGCGCTCAGCGGCGGGCAGCATCAGGTCATGTTGTCCGCGCGGCTGGAGACCTGCCCGCGTGTCACCTTCAGCGGAGCTGGATCTGTAACGGTGAGTCTCTCTCTCTCCCCGCTGTCTGTGAGGCTCTCTCTGCCTTCTCTCTGTGCTACTGTCCTTGTGTCTGTCCTCTGTCTCCTCCGTGTCTCGGCTCCTGGTCCCGAGAGCTGCTCTCTGTCTCACCTCTGAGAATCAGAAAACAGAGGCTGAAACTCTTCACAAGTTAATGAGTGGATGGATGATGATGCCTTTGATAACCCGCCGGGTGAGCATGATGGAGAAGGTTTTTTCTTCTCTCTCAGCCCAGTAGAAACTGAGTTGAGCCGCAACTCTTATTTTAATCACTCTGTTACTGCTGGTTAACGTATAAACTCTATTTACTTCTGAGGTAACTTACGATTTCTGTCAGTCTGCTGTTTATTATCTCGACTGATGAAGTAATAGTTTGTAAAATGTCAGAAAACTGTGATGCGCACGTTTTGATCAAAATACAAAGATTTCCTGTTTATAAAGCAGAAAAGCTGTAAATTTACATCTGAGAAGCTGGAATCATTGAACCTTTTGATTGAGCAACTATTTTTATTGACGATTATTAGTTTTTTTTTTTTTTACAGACGATAATTAACTAATTAATTAATTAATCGATTAATCTTTACAGCTGTCTGTTGACCAGACTTTGAGAAATCACTTTAAAAGCAGTTATCTATAAAATGTACATGCAAATAGAAATATTTATTGATTAAATAGTTATTTTTATTTAATTATTTCAAATGTTGTCATGTTTTAAGGTAGTTTTGTTGTATTTAGTGAATCTGAAGATATTTAAGGAGGCTCTCCCATCACCCAGAGTCCTTTGATGCATTATTAATGTAAAACTAATGATTCTGCAGCGTTATCAGGTCTGAACCCTCAAACAGCACTTTGAAGAAGGACCAGACAAAATGTCCTCTCTTTGAAAGTCCACCTGCAGAAAATAAACTGCTAAAAAACGGAGTGACCGTAAAACATCTCCTGCTTTTATTTCATCTCATTATAAACTTAATCCAATTGCTTTTCTGTGTCAGACACCGTAGAATCAATCTGGTGCTTATTTAATTTTAGTTTTCTCTGTTTTATACACTAAATGATCAATTGATCAGTCCTCTCAATAAAGACAAGGTTAGTTAACAAAAAATCTTTAATAGTTAAAGCCCTGAAACACAATTATTGCGTTTCTAACCCTAACATATAAAGGAGACACAAAGTAAATAAACCTGTAAATTTCATTATATTTAGGGCTGCAACTGTTTCCATTATTGATTTATCTGCTCATAATTTCTCTATTAATCGATTAGAGTAATCAATTAGATTAATAATTTTGCCTATATAATGTCGGAAAATGGTGAAAAAAGACTATAATTTCCCACAGGTGACATATTAAATTTCTTTGTAAATCGCTCTGGTTATTCAGTTTTTCTACTACTACTGAAAATAAATATGTCGGGCTGACGTGATTACTCAGTTAATAAAAACATTTCAACATTTTTCACTATTTCTCAAACCCAGTTATAAATGCGATTAATCGAAAAAATGCAGCTCTTTTCAGACGCAGAGTAAAAGAGTTATCAGCTGAACTGTTGTCTGTATGAAGCGTCTTAAAGACACAATAGACTAATAAATATTTCATTTTAAAACAAAGTTTTTATCTTGTTTTCAGCTTCCATTCCTCCTAATTCGGCCTTCAAAATAAAAGCCTTTCTTTAAATAAGTTCCTTGATGTAAGATATGTGATGTGTTTAATTGCTTTCCTCTGAATCAGTTCAATTTTTAAAGTTTGCTTTTGGAAAGCAAAGGTCGTGGACATTATTTAAAAGGAACACAAACAAATCGATAAATCGATAAAAAGAGAATGAACTGAAAATGAAATAATCATTAAAAACATCTTCGTTTTATGAGCACAGAAAAAGGAAATACAGAGACGATCGCTCAAACATCAATAACTGCAGGTGTTTGTGTAAATATACAGAGTCATTATGAGTCAATATGTGGAGGGGGGGTTGTGGAAATAAATAAATCAACTTATTAAACAGAGGGGGATCCAGAGAGAGAGAGCGGTGGAGCGAGCAGTATTTATAGCGGTGGGGTTGCTGGTGGTGTTGAGTGTCGACTCGTCGTCATATCGCTTCAAAAATAACTTCAGCGCATCCAACGGAAACTCTGAGGGGACAGAAACACCCGGGTCACCCTCCCTCTGCTAGTTAAAAATAACCTGGGGGGGCGGGGCTTAAACTGGACTTAGAGTAGGGTTAGTGTGGCGTTCCCCATCCTCGAGCACTCCTTCAGCCAACGCTACTACCTGCTGTGACATCACCCAGAGACCCAGATTTGTGTGAAATAAATTCTCTGATGGTCAGAAACCAGCCGCAGCCTCTGATGGCGCACTAACCTGGAATCAGTTGGCAGAGAGAAAGTCAGATGAAAGTGAACTCATCTTAGTGTGTCCTCCAGACTCCGGCTCGAGGACCTGAGGCCGGGATGGGCGGGGAGGCGTGTCCTCACAAGCTGGGAACGACCAATCATCTTCGACTTCTCCGCTACATCCTGATTCCCACTGTGAGCCTGCTGGCCGGTCTGCTGCTGCTCGTCCTGGCCCTCACTGGTATGGAAACACACACACACACACACACACACACAGCTGTGTTTCCATAACTACAGAGGACATCGTCTCCTGTAGAGTCGCCCTACCCACCACCTGACCAGCCACAAAAGTCCTAACACTAAAAATAATGATTTACTTTATAGGTATTTAGCATTTTGTCTCCACAAGGAAGACAAACCCCCATAATGTGACTGATTTATGTCCCCACAACATCAGTAACATCACACTAGTGTTGTGGTACTCAAGACCAGTCTTAAGTGTGTTGAATAATGATGCTGACATAGATTTAAACTCTTAGTGTTTGTATGTGGGTGTTTTACTAGGAATGTGGATCTTTCAGATCATGTGGGGAACTGGTCTTGACTCGGTCTCAGCCCTAAAAGTCTTGTCTTGGTCTCGGTTTGGGCGGTTCTGACTACAACACGAGCACAAACAAATTCAAGTGCTACTCAATGTGCAAGTCGACCTTTGACCTTTTGTTGTGTTTTTAACCACCAGATGGAGATAAAGAATGACATTTGGTGTCATTTGACGTCCAGGTCTGAAAAGTGAAGCTAATGTGGAAGTGCCTTTAACCTGCATTATTTCTAATGACCAGCAGGGGGCGACTCAAAAAGAAATCAGATTGTGTTGTAGTCTATGGTAAAAGGACCCACCTGATTTATTACCTCAGTCAACACTTTCCTAATGAGTTCATGGTCTCAGTTTCAAGTCTTCTTCAGCACAACATGATGTTCATTCAGTAAATTATGGTCCCATTTAGAGGAAAATAGACCAGAAATCGGCGTATGATTAGGGTGGGGCTACCTTGTGATCGACAAGTTGCTAACATGGCGGCCTGTCA